CCTACCTCCTCCTCCTCCTCCTCCTCTCTCTCTCTCTCTCTCTCTCTCTCTCTCTCTCTCTCTCTCTCTCTCTCTCTCTCTCTCTCTCTCTCTCTTTCTCTCTTTCTCTCTCCCTCTCTCTCTCTCGTCGTTTCCGGTGCGTGACTCGTAAGTTTATCTTTCTCGTGGTAATTCGGTATGATCGATCGTAGAACCAGGAACCAGCTTGTCGATTTAACGACTTCCACGCATCGTTCATAGGTTGTCACTGCGTTCCTCAAGTCTCTTCCTCTTGCTCCGCTTCCGGGCCAACCTCAAGTGCATCTAATCTACTAATTTCACTAATTTCACAAATTTGTAATACTTCGTCACTTGCGCTCGCACGTATGTATATACATATATCGTATGTACAAGTTGCAAAATCGAATCACATACAGCCACGAAGTTTTCTCTTCATTCCCGATACCTTTTCCTCCCCACGAATGGCGATCCGCGCTACACGCGTCGCAATGACGACAAGGCCGGCCAAGTTCGAGTCGATCATTTCACCAGAAAACAGCAAGATGAAGACGGTGTTCCGGACTACGTATGTACTGTTTCGGAACGTATATCCGCAAGTGTCACTGCCTCCTTCAGAGTTGGGCGCGACCACATGATTTCACTGACATTCGAAACGCAAACGTCATTGCGACGGCATAGTTTCCTTTCGCACTTTATTGTCGCTGTCGCTGTCGATAACGCGATTTATTTAGAAAAGCGCTGCTGTTTCGTAGAGAATCGCGGGCACTGTCGATTACCGCATTATCGCGCGATCTCGATCAGCACGGTTCACACAGTAATGCGTAGAGAGATAGAAAGAATGGAAGACAGGATTGCGATAAATGGAAAAAGAAACAAAGTGAGAGACAGTGGGAGTGAAACGAAGTGAGAGAAACGTGGAAGCAGCGGGATGGCAAGATTAAAGTGGACTAGAACGGCGCGGAAGGGGGGAAGGGATAGTATGCGCGAGCGATGGAAGGATGCAAAGAGCAAAAGCCATTGCTAAAACAAGAGACAAATCGAAAACTGACGAGCCGGCGTAGCCGGCGAACAAGACGTAGGTATGTTGACGTTCTTTTCTATGAACACTTTTCGAGCAAACTTTCTGCGGATGGTGATTCGCGTGATGTGGAAAATCGCACAAGAATGGCGATGACCGCACAGCGTATCGCGTCGCGCCGCCGTTTGCGCCGCCGCCGCTGAGGCGGCGGCAGCGCGGCACGCGCGCGCGCATTACTCTTTACTACGTCTACGATCGGCGAGCTAGCTCACAGCGTTTCTGGAGTACGTTATTTCAAGGGTGGTGGGAGGCGGAGAGAGGGAAACAAAGATGAAAGGGGATGTAAGCGCGTCTCTTCATCGCCTCCGCGGCGCTATGTCGTCGAAGCGCAAGGGGTGCTCGTGGGGCTCCGGCAAAAGTGGAACGCCTATGACGATAGTTGCGACTGCGACGACAACGCCAATTAATTGCAGCCAGCAATCGAGGGCAATATTATGGACGTCAAAACTGATTGTTTAAGTTTCTTTTAAGCTTCTGTGGTTCGACTTCGATGGAGCCTCGTAAAAAGTGGCAAAAGGGAAGGGGCGACAAAGATGGAGTAGTACGTCGTATGAAGGGCAAGTGAGAATAGGGTGAGTGGATGCGTGGTGCATAGGATGGGAAAAGGGATGAAGAATAAAAGTGGCGGAGAGAGGACGGTATTGCCCGGCGCTCCGTTCCATGAAGAGTGAAGAGGAGGGAGATACGAGGGTGGCAATCCCGACCTTACGCCACGTTACGGAGGTGTAACGCGGCGCAAGCCCGGTATCATTGATTTAACATATATCTATATCTTACATAAAGAGACAGCGAGAGCTTTCGTACGGCGAGACGAGGTAACACTCGCGTTATACTTGTCCAAGCATAAAACAGGAATAGCATTATGCGTACGAATTGCGTAATAATAGACAGAGCGTGAAAAATCTTTCTTCTCGTTAAAAGAGATCTCAAGTATTATATATTTATACATCATTTCCATACGAACTATTATGACATTATTAATGAATGAATACATACATTATATAAAAAAAAATATTTTCTATCTATGAGATTTTGCAGAACATAGTATTCGTAAGTCTTCTAGGTCGCTAAACTAGATTCTAATCAAAATGATCAAATTAATCAAATTAATCGAATTCAATTTAATGGATGCAAATTTGAAAAATTATTCTATTTTATAAACCTAATTTTTAAACTTTTATAACCATCAGAATGAAATCTAGTATTAGAATATTTAATTATAAGGATATTATTTTATATAGAATTATAAGGATAATATCTTATATGCAAAATAAAATTTAAAAAAGAATAATATCATTTAAAAATAAAATTTATTGTATTTTTAAATTTTAATTTATATATTTTATTTAAATTTATTGTCAATAATTATTCTTGAATTCACCTATATTTTGCCTTATATATTTTTTTTTTTTCTTTAATTATAAAATTTTTATTTTAATTTTTAAATTAAATATTTCTAAAATTCTTTTTCTGAGAAAGTTTCATATAAAATCTATCATTCAAAACTTTTTTAATTGTCACATTGCGTCTTTTTAAAAACTTTAAACATTATAATTTTTGCGTAAAATTAATTTTTTCAATACATTTTTTTATACAAATTATTTTTAATAATAAAGTATTTCTTCTTTTTTTTAATTAAAGGAATAAGAGACATGGTTGTTAAAGATCGAAATATACGTTCATATTCAAATAATTTGCGACAGAAGATTGGGCGTTTATGCATAAGCTACAATAGTTTATATTTTTAGACGTAAATACAAACTATATATGTTTAACACGTCATCTATCTGGACACTGCATAATTTATAAAATGACTTTTTAATGCATGCAAAATTATTTGTATTTTTGTATTTAATGCAATGCAAAATTATTTGTATTTTTGTTTTTATTTTATGAAAATATATTTTATAGTTGTGCAAAACAATATAAAAAAATAATATTATACATTTTGATGTAATACTGTTAAAATATATACAATATAAAACATTAATTAAAGAAGAGTTTACATTTTTGTTAATTTGCCAATTTGTAACACAAATGTAATAAAAATTGTAAAGAAACTATAAGTAAACTATAATAAAAATTTAATGAAAAAAGATATCATTATTAAAAGACAAGGAGTCTCGTGTCTCGCGCCAGGTTCATATGTAGCGCAACTAAAAACCAGTCGTGTGTCTATGTACACGTGAGCCCACAAGTTGAGAAGAGCCGAAATTATCAAATCTAAATAACATTTGGGCCAATCGAGTTGATTATAGGTTCAATCGATAGAGAATACCCAAATTATATAATAGAAGTATTTTTAAAATCAAACAAAAAGTATTTTTGTTTTTCTTCTACACACACTATAAATAAGAGATATAATAAGCCAAAGTTCAGATATTTCATATCGAAATTTATTGGCGTTTTTGATTATACGGATTTTGATCGACTCATTTAATTAATGACGTCATTCAATCTGTCGTGGGCACTACTAGAAGTAGGATTAAATCTTGTATGGATCAAAACTGTGTTCGATCCATAAACGTAGTACTTACTACGTATATGGTTCGAAGTTTTATAACCTTAGAAAAACGAAGAGTAAATGCAAGATTAAACGAAGAATGAATGCACTTATACTTAGTAAGTTATTAATAATCTGATATTTTAATAAATAATATAAAATATAGATATTAGATTTATTATTAATTAAAAATTAGAAATATCTTAATTTTTTTATATAATTTTTATACAATTTTTTTAGTTAAATGCGAAATAAAATTTATTTCCAAAGAATATTTAGAGTCAATTAGCATTATCTCCGATTCGTCATTAATAGGTAAGTGTATAATATAATTATATTATGTTATATAAATATTAGGATAATATTATTTATATTATATTAGGATAATAAATATACAGGGTGAGGCATCTAAAATAGGCCACCTAAATAACTCGCTTGCTTTTGGCGATAAAAAAAAAATGCATCAGACCAATCCTGCTTGGTTTCAATGGGAATCTGATGTCAATAGCTTTTGTAGGTGTAGAGGAGATGCAAAAAGGGCAACTTCGTATTTTTAAATAGAATAATGTTTTTCACTTACTTTCTAATAGAGCGTTTTAAGATGCATACAATAAACTATAATATGATTAAAGATCCTTCAAAGTCGTTAAAGATCAACTCTGATGGAAAATAATTTATTTCAAGGAACCATAGCCCAGTCAATAAAGCAAAATTTTATCAAAACCTCAAAATAATTCACGGACAATTTGCAGAGGTGTTCAGTTAGTGTCTGCCAATCATGTTTGAAAACCCCCCATGATTCCCCCCTTGCTTCACTCACAATCGGTGTAAAAAGGTTGTTAGATGATAAGAGTGAAGTTTCGAAAAGTCCACACCTCCGATTTGCTTCAAACTACGTTTTTTATTGTATTTTTGCGCGCTAATTACGAATATGACCATGCCTATTGGCGACAAGGTTATTTTCAAAGTTAAAACTCAAAAAAACTAAAAAATTATCACTTTTTTAACATTATTTTGATAAATATTGATGTAACAAAAAAATAGTTTCAAATAAAAGTTGTAGCTCTTGAAAAAATACATCATTTAAGTCGTATGCATATTTTGCATAGAATCAATATTTTTCGAAAAAAATGAGATAATAGGAAAGATACTTCTCCCGCACTATGCAGTGGTAGCCTAGTCAATAAAGCGAAATTCTATTGATACCTCAAAATAATTCGTGGAAATCTGAAAATTTGCAAAGATGTTCAGTTAGTTTCTGCCAATCATGTCTAAAAACCCCCCATGATTCCCCCCCCCCTTGCTTCACTCAC